CCAATTTACAATCCAATCCAGACTAATAGCAAAGCAGTTTTCAGGAGGGTATCCAATATCCTCAGAAGTGAGCTATCAGGCTGCCTGGTCTTTGATAGGGGCTCTTTAGTCTGAGTTGTTTTACAACTTGTAGGTTCCTATCACCACCTCTTAATTTTTTACCAAGATGGCAATGAGATAAACAGGTAAAGGTGGAGAAAGAAAGGGAAAAAAAATTCCCTGTCAGGCTGTTGTTGGTGTCCTTAAATGTTTAAGAACCTCAAGAATTTCAATCTTGTATCAGGTATGAGTTCTACCAAATTCAGGACTGTGCTTCCTCACAATTGAAAGAGAAGGAAAGGTATTTTATAAGCCAAGTAAAAACAAGAAAGATGGGTGTTATGATTGGTTTTGAGGTGTTCCCCAAAAGGTCATGTATGAGATAGTGCAAGGAGATTCACTGGACAAATGATTGGGTTGTAACAGTCTAAACCAAATCAATGATTTAATCCCTTGAGAGTGATTAACTGTGTGGTAACTGAAGTGGCAGTATATGGTTGGAGGAGGTGGGAATTGATATGTGGCTTTGGGTATATATTTGTGTCTAGCGAGTGGAGTCTCTCTTTGCTTCCTGATCACCATGTAAGCCACTTCCCTCTCCACACTCTTCACCATATTGTTCCTGTCTCACCTTGAGCCTTGAGCAATGGAGCCAGCTGTCTATGGATTGAGATGTCTGAATTGTGAGCCCTCAAACTGTACCACTGAGCTACATCCACAGCTCCAAGTGAACTTTACAGTTTGACCATATTGAAAAAAAAATTACAGATACATGTTCAAGTTATTTATTTTTATTGTTTTGTAAAAAGCCTTTTTTTTCATTGAATGGTCTTTACCAATTCTATTAGCTTTCACTACTTCAGAAACACCAAATTTTTGATTATGCATCTGTTCTCCCCAGAGCTCTCTAATCTTTCATATTTCTATTCATCAGAGATTATATTACTTTAATTATTTCAGATTAAAAATACAAATTAAACATTGATGTGGATGGGTCCCTGTAGTATGCTGTTTTTAAGTCCTTTGGGTAAAGATGAAGGAGAGTGATAGCTGGGTCAAATGGTGGTTCCATTCTCAATTTTCCAAGAAATTTCCATACTGCTTTCCTTATTGGCTGCACCAATTTGCAGTCCCACCAGCAGTGCATGAGTGTAGTTTTTTTCCTCACATCGTTGCCAATACTTATCATTGTTTGTATGCATAATAGCTGCCATTCTGACTGGAGTGAGATGAAACCTTAGAGTGGTTTTGATTTGCATTTCTCTAATTACTAGTGATGGTGAACTTTTTTTTCATGTATTTGTTGATTGATTGTACATCATCTTCTGAGAAATGTCTGTTCAGGCACATATATTGATTTTTTTTTTGTATTTAGTTTTTTGAGTTCTTTATATACCCTATTGATTTGTGCTCTATCTGATGTGTGAAGGGTAAAGATTTGCTCCCAAGATGTAGGATCTCTATTCACCTCAGATTGTTTCATTTGTTGAGAAGAAACATTTTAGTTTGAGTTCATTCCTTTTATTGATTCATGATTTTAATTCGTATGCCACAGGAGTCCTATTAAGGAAGCTGGGGCCTAATGCCACATGATGGATATTAGGGCCTACTTTTCTTCTATTAGACTTAGGGTCTCTAGTTGTACTCCTAAGTCCTTGATCCATTTTGAGTTGAGTTTTGTTCACGGTGAGAGATAGGGGTTTAATTTCATTTTAGTGAATATGGATTTCCTTGGAAAATTGTGAATGGAACCACCATTTGACCCAGATATCCCTCCTCTTTGTTTTTGTTTCATAATTCTGTTTTTAAGTCCTTTACATAAAGGACTTAAAAACAGAATTATACAGGGACACAGCCACATCAATGTTTATAGCAGAAAAATTCACAATAGCTAAAATGTGGAACCAATCAATAGATGAATGGATAAAAATAAATGTGGCATATATATACACAAAGCAATACTCAGCAATAAAAGAGAACAAAATCATGGAATTTTCAGGTAAATGGATGGAGTTAGAGAAGATAATGCTAAATGAAGTTAGCCAATCCTAAAAAAAAAAATGTCAAATCTTTTCTTTGATATAAGTAGGCTGTTTGTAATATAAGGAGGCTGATTCATTGTGGGATAGGGAGCGGGAGCATGGGAAGAATTGATGAACTCTAGATAGGGCACGGGAGTTGGAGGGGAATGGAGGAGGGATGAGTTTATTAATGATGGTGGAGTGTGATAATCATTATTATCCAAAGCACATGTATGAAGACATGAATTGGTGTGAATATACT